TCTATGGAATATAGAGGAAGAATCTCTACTTTATTCAATTCATTCGATTCATAAAAACTGTCAAACCTGTCTGTCACCGATTTGTCTATTTTTTGTTTTCATTTTTATTATTTGTCATTCTTCTGTGTGTGTGTGTTGGTTTGGTTTGGTTTTTTTTGTTCATCCATAAAACGATGTTATTTGTTTGACATCTACATTATTCTCTCTCACTTGCCTCACTCCTGGATCGTCTTCATTTTCATTTTTTTTTTTTTTTTCTTAATTTCTAATTTTATTCATTCATTCACAGTTGATAGCTACCATGATTAGGTTTGATGATTCTNTTTTTTTTGTTCATCCATAAAACGATGTTATTTGTTTGACATCTACATTATTCTCTCTCCCTTGCCTCCCTCCTGGATCGTCTTCATTTTCATTTTTTTTTTTTTTTTTGCTTAATTTCTAATTTCATTCATTCATTCACAGTTGATAGCTACCATGATTAGGTTTGATGATTCTGTGTTGGTTGTATTGATGCCAGTCATCGTTGACGTTGTTGTTGTTGTCGTAATAATCGTATTATGACAACAACAACAACAACAACAAATATATTCTGTCTGATGTCATTCAAAAAAAGAAGTTTCATGTCAATATAAAACGAGACAAGATAAAAATCCTTTTTGGAAAAGACCAATTGGAAAAAAATGAGAAAAAAACAGAAGGAACTCCAAAAAACAAAATGTAAAAAAAAGAATGAATCCAAAGTGAATAGAATTTTTGTTTATTTGTCCCTTGTGTGTGTGATGGTTATTTGCTTTTTTTCTTCTACATTCTATTCATCATCATCATCATTATCTGTCAAATAATGATGATTATTATAATGATGACAATATGTGTTTCATTTTGTCTAATATTCCTCTCGTTTTGTTTTCCAAATGTTTTTGTCATTTTTTGACATTCATTCAATGTAAATCATATTCGTTTCTGTTTTTTGTTTTTGTTTTTGCTATTGCTTTTTTTTGCATTTTCCATAGCCTTTGATCCATAGAATATTGATTTTTTTGATGAATATGCAGGAGGATGCAATGAGAGAAGAATAATTGTTTGCTTGATTCTTGATTCATAAGATTCATCGATTGATTGAGATTTCATTATTGAGAAGCAAAACAAAATCGAAGAAAAATCTTGATAATTCTTTGAAAGAAAATAAAAACCTTGACGTTTTTCGGTTATTGTTTTATGGTTTTTTATTTGCAAATTCAAATATTTTATTCACATTTTCGTTTGTTTTTTGTTTTTCGTTTTACACACATTTGAAATTGGAACTATTTCTCTGAAAAAAACACACATACACACACGATTCTTTCATGATTCTGTTGTCTTCTTTGGATTTTTCTTCTTTTTCCTTTTCCAACCATCTTTGTTGTCATTGTCATCACTGTTTTTTCCTTTCTATCTATCTATCTATCTATGTTATGTTTGGTACACACACACATTTACAACTGACAACAAACTGTCAAATCCAGTGACAAAAAACTGTCAAATGTCAAGTTAGTTTCATTATTTTTTTTGGAACATTCGGTATTTTCGTTTAGTTTTTTCTGTTGTTGTTTTCGTTGTTTTTTTATTCTTGTATGTTTTGCTCAATCATTGCTATTGTTTTTCATCATCATCATCATCATGTTATAAAAATGTGATGTGATGTATATATTCTGATTGTTTTTTTTTTGCATCATCATCATCATCATCATCATCAGGGATGCTTATATAGAGAATTTCGTATTCTTTATCCTTAAAAGATAAACGAAAACGAATTATTATTATTATTTCTCATCATCTTGTCATCCATTCCTTGTCAATGTCTTATGTTTCTGTCATACATTTTCGTATTTTCGTTTGTTCGTTCGTTCGTTGTCTAATTTTTTTTTTTTGGTTTGATTATCCATCTATCCATCCATCCATTATATATTCATCTCAAATGATGATGATGACAATGATGATGACATGTAAGATGTGTGTGTGTGTGTGTGTGTATGTGTGTAGAGAAGGAAAACAGAAAATGTTGTCATTCATTCATTCATGGTTGTCATCAGAATCATTTCGGTTTTTTTCTTTCTTTCTTTCTTCGTGCATATTCTCTCTATATATGCCATATCGTTTTTCGGTATTTTTTTTCTTTCTTCTTCTTTCTTGTTCCTTTACTAGATTTGTTTTCCATTGCATGTTGTTGTTGTTGTTGTTTTGTTATTCTGATTATACTGAAACAAACAATATTCCTTTTTTTATATGATAAGATTGGAAATATCAGGATGAAAAGCAATAGGATTATACATTTTGACAACAACAACAACTATTTCGACATAAACAAATCAATCAATGTTTGTGAATGGATTAAATCTGAAAAATGGAAATGATGATAATGGTGATTTTTTTTTTTGCAGAAATTCTCTCATAGGTACACATTTGCCTGAAAAAGGACACACTAGCCTTGGTCATCTTGAATATTCACCAAATATTCCATTTTTTTTTGTCTATATAACATCATCATTCGAAATCAGAATTCTCCCATTTTCAATTACAAAAGCATCAAACAAAATCATGGTCTTCATTTCCATGATTTTGATGAAAAATATATTCTTTTCTTTTCTTTTTTTCTGATTGTTTGATTGTTGTTTGATGAAATGATGCTGCCATTTATACATTCTTTTTTTTTCCTTTTTTTTTTGGTTTGAAATTCTATATAATCAAATATCAAAACATTCTTTGTTCGTCCAGTGCCCGATAGATGAATCTAATCTCAATCTGTATATCCATCTATAACTATATAGAGAAAGAAAGAAAAAGCTAGCCAGAATCAAAGCAAAATTTGAATGAAAATGGCACGATCCAACAAAAAAACGCCAAGAACGTACGCATCAAAAAAAATATATCTGACATTTGATGTGTTCAAGTTTTTCATTTCGTTTCTTCGTTGTCTTCTTCTGAGCGCATTTCACTCAACAAAATGACATGGATCAATCACACAATCCATATGAGATGAGATGCACATACTCATGGATTGTGATTCATTCACAATTCAAACAATGATGCTACAATGGTGATGCTATTCAAGTGATGGAGAGAGAGGGAGAGAGAAAAAAAATGGATGTTTAATAATAATGAAATGAAATGAAATTTTGTTTTTTTTTTTCGTAAAACGGGTATCACCCATCACATCACCGAATCATGATTGACAAAAATACGCATGTCAATCGCCCTAGCGCCTTTTTTTTTGTTATTTAGTCAAAGATCCATCCATCTATTTTGGCAGGCCATAGTCATTGCCAGCCAGTCAGTCAGTCAAAATCAATTTCTTTTTCTTTCTTTTTGTAGTTTTTTTGTTCGCAGAACTTTCCATTGTACGAATTTTTTTAACACACTTCAATCAAAATCGATTTCTTCTTCTTCTTGATTTCAATTCTTCTTTAATCAGATTTGATTTTTATTCAATTGAAAAGGTTTTCCTTTTTTTTCCGTTGAAAATACGAATCCAAAAAAAAAAAAATATTCAAAATGAAAAAAAATTCAAATTTTAGTTGCAATTATTGACGTATGATGGCAGTAGATGTCGTTAATTTTTCTTTTTTTCTTTTTGGGTTTACGAAAAACGGATCTGCCAAGTGAAAAAAAAACAAAATAATTCCATTTCCATTTTGAACCAGACAAAACGAAACACACAGAAAACAAGAAAGAAATGGCAATGCTCAAAAATCATCATTACATTGTCAATCAAAAAATTACAGAAAAAAAATTCCACATAGCCATATTAGCTAAATATATTGAATGGAAGGGAAAAAAGCAAACTCTATTGCCTCCCCCTTCCCCCTTCTCCCTCCCTCTCTCTCTCTCTCTCTCTCTCTCTCTCTCTCTCTCTCTTACTCTGTCATGTCACATACATTCATTAATCATTATAATATATATAAATCTTGATCAATCAAAATTGATCATTCGAATTCGAATCAAAAGAAATCATAGGAAAAAAAATAAATGTGAATTGTGAATGAAAAATGGAAATGGAAATGAAAATGAACACAAATCGAATTGAATTGAATTGAATTNCCACGTTTTTCTCTCTCTCTCTCTCTCTCTCTCTCTCTCTCTCTCTCTCTCTTACTCTGTCATGTCACATACATTCATTAATCATTATAATATATATAAATCTTGATCAATCAAAATTGATCATTCGAATTCGAATCAAAAGAAATCATAGGAAAAAAATAAAATAAATGTGAATTGTGAATTGTGAATGAAAAATGGAAATGGAAATGAAAATGAACACAAATCGAATTGAATTGAATTGAATTTGAAGGAATAGTAGATTTTATTTTATTAAAAAGATTGATGATGAATCATTTTGGCATGACAGGCCTTGATGATTATGATGATGATGACGATTGATGATTATGATGATTATTATTATGTTGATGATTATGACGACAAACGAAGGAAAAGCAAAAAAAAGCAATAGAGTATGTAAGGTGAAAAAATAATTTTTGAAATACCTGATCAAATCAAATTATCCAAATCAGATCTGATTTTTTTAAAATTTCATTTTGTTTCCCCCTTTGCCCTTTTCCCCTCCATCAGATGATGATGATAATAATGATTAGGATGTTTGGTTTGTCTATCTATCCAATCTATTTGATGGATATGTTTCTTGTCATGTTTCACATGAAATGAAATGATTTTTTTTTGGTTCAGAAATTTTTTTTAAATTAAGTAGTGTTATGTACTCTACGATTGGTTACATGGTGACGACGCCTTGCTCATTATGATTGTAATGTGCTCACGTAAGCACGTGTATTATTATATTTTTTCATTCATTTATCTTGATTATTAATTTGAATTTAATAAAATCGTTTAAAAAACGCCTGCTTTGTATTATTTACCTCTCGGAACGTTTCTGAATCGTTTACATGGTGGTAGCGTTAAAAGAAAATTTTATTAAATTTTTATGATAATTCGTATATAATGGGTGATAATCAAAATATTAATCATGATCATTGGCTCATTCGACCAGTTCGAATGGAAAAAGATGATAAAATTGACGAATACATTGACGAGTTTGAAAGAATCTCCGAAGCAAATGGTTGGAATGATGAGCGTCGAGCTATAATCTTCAAAGCAATGTTACGTGCCGATTCCGATGCGTTACAAGTTTTGATGGATCTTAGTGAATCCGATCAAAAATCGTTCCGAAAAATCAAATTGGCTTACGAGGATAAATCTAAACACAATATGATGGCAAATGTAATGAAATTAATGTCGTTACAAAGAGAAAAAAATGAATCTTTGCAAAAATTGCTACAACGTACTATATCATTGGTCGATAAGGTATATCCTAATTTCGCTAAAGGTAATAAGACACAATTGACTCGTAATCATCTGATCGCGGCTCTTGATAATAAAATTCGTGAAAAAATTGTTGCCTTGACCGAAATTCCTAAAACGGGTAATGATGTCGTCGCTAAAGCTGAAGCAATTGAAAATGCATCAAAATGTAATTTCTCAAGATTCGAAGATTCAAAATCATCATCATCGTCTAATCAGTCAATAAAAGCAAATAAATTTTGTGATTTTTGTAACAAAAAAGGACATATTGAAGAAGAATGCTACAAAAAGAAAAACAAAGAGAAGAAAGAAAAAAAATCTTCAAATGAAGCTGAAAAAGTTTTAAAAGTTGTATCAAATAAGATGAGCATGAATATTATGGTTAAATATAAAAATTCTTTACATCAAGCATTGATTGATTCAGGAAGCAGCATTTCGTTCTTTCCTCGAAAATTTGTTGATGATTCAAAAATTATTAAATCAGAAATTGGCATTTCTGCTTTCACATTTAACAATCATCCTATTTCAATTATTGGTGTTATCGAAGAATTAATCGTCATTGATAATGTTCAGTGTACATGGAAATTTTACGTGGCTGAGGGCAATAATAAATTTCTACTCGGATTTGATTTCTTAAATTCAAAGAAATTCAAAATTTCAACTGATTTTAAGTTTTTCAAAATTTCCGATGGTAAATGCTCCGGCGAAACAAAAATTATCTGTGGCAAATCTGAAAATTCATCTGATTGTGACGAATGCAATAATCTAATCGTTTCATCTAGTCAACAAAATGAAGAAAAAATTTCTAAAAAATGTTTTATCAAATCGGTGTCAACTTCTCCATCAAATAGTGTTCATAATGATAATAATGTCGAAAAATTGTTGATGAAATATGATCAATTATTTAATAAAATTGGCGTAACTACTATCATCAAACATAAAATAAATTTACGTGAAAATTCTAATCCAATTCAAACACGTGAATACGGTATTCCCGATGATATTAAAAAAGATGTCGATAAAGCGATAAAGAAATTAATCGATGATGACATAATTGAAAAATCGGAATCCGAATGGAAAAATCAAATTGTGCCAATACGTAAATCAAATGGTTCTATTCGATTAACAATCGATTTTAGCGAATTAAATAATATTACCAAACAAGATTTGTATCCGGTACCAAGAAAAGATCGAATTATTCGCTATTTGAAAAGTTCTAAATATTTCTCCAAAATTAATATGAATGATGCTTATTATCAAATCAAAATGGATAAAAATGACCGTGAAAAAACAGCATTCCAATGGAATCATAATCTTTATCATTTTAAAAGAATGCCGTATGGGTTATTGTCTGCACATCAAACATTTATCCGTTGTATGTCAAAAATTTTTGGTAAACTTAAATATGTGAAGATATACGATGATAATATACTAATTCATTCAAAATCAAAAAGTGATCATTATAATCATTTAAGTGAAGTTTTTAAATTGTTCAAAACATTTAATCTTTCGATTAACAGTTCTAAATCTTCATTTTTAGTGGAAAAAATTGATGATCTTTGTTTATTAAAAAAAGATGAAATAGTCAAAACATCTATAAAAAAAGTTGATAAATCAAAAAATGTTCAAATTGCATTACATCGTGTTTCTGCCATTCAAATTAGACCATGGAATCAAGTTCAAGAATCTGACGAATTATTGAATATACAAATCATGGCTAATCCACAACTTTTTTTAAAAGAGGGCGAAGCATGGTACAGAAGAGATGGTAAATTTTTGAAGTTATGTTTATCCATGATTTTGCTTAATGATCGTATCCATGAAACACATAATCATTTTGGTCATTGTGGAATTTCTAAAATTACTGAATTAATGAAACTTCAATATTATCATCCAAAATTAGAAGAAATTGTTAAATCTTTAATCCATTCTTGTGAAAATTGTCAATTAACAATAGATGATGATCAAAATCAAACAACATTGAAGTATGAAAAAAATGATTCATCATCAAAAGTTAACAACGTGGGGTCGATTAATTATTGTCAACAAACAACAAAGAAAAACGACTGCGAAAATGTTAAAATCAAATTTAAAATTGGCAATTACATTATGATTCGTAAAAAAGAATTTGAAAATCAATCCTGGATCGGACCATTCAAAATTATTCATCGTAAAAGCTCTAACACATTTATTGTAACCGGCAAAAATAATAAAAATGTCTTAGTGTATCTTAATCAAATGAAAATGGCAAATGAATGTTCCGACGATCACTTGGCTCTTATCTCAAGCCGTGGTCACCCTGTAACCAGAATCTGAGAAGGGGGTGTTATGTACTCTACGATTGGTTACATGGTGACGACGCCTTGCTCATTATGATTGTAATGTGCTCACGTAAGCACGTGTATTATTATATTTTTTCATTCATTTATCTTGATTATTAATTTGAATTTAATAAAATCGTTTAAAAAACGCCTGCTTTGTATTATTTACCTCTCGGAACGTTTCTGAATCGTTTACAGTAGCCAAAGATGTTCATCATGTTTGCTTGGATTAAACAAACTTTTGTTGTTGATTTGGTTTATTATTGTGTGGAAATTATTGTGGAACTTTGAAAATCGGTAGTGGTGGAATCTTGTTGATTATATTATCACAAGGTTTTTTTTTCTTTTCTCGCCATTTTGTTTTCTGCTGATCACACAGGGTTATTTGGGTTGCTGTTGCTATATTCTGCGTTATTTTTTTAGCCAAAATATTTCTCACTACCATCATCATCTTTCACATTGCTCAAGATCATTCCATTGACAGCCAACAGAACCTACACCAACCAACCAACCAGCCAACTTGAATAACAAACGAACGAAAAAAACGATTTAAAAAAAAAGCAAAATTCAATAGAGAAAAAGAGAATGGAATATAGAGAGTGAAGCAACGATAGAAACAAAAAAATGATTGATTGAGAATTGTCAATTTTGATCGTTTTTGATCGTCGTTCATAAACAACAACAAACACACAACAACAACAGCAAATCATTCTGTTGTCGTTATTTTCATATACATATAATATATCTATCTATGCACAACACAAACATTCCAAACAGATTGGCAACAACGAAAAAAATATTCGTATATTTATTATATATCGTTTATGATTGATGACCGATATATAACAAAATTTGAAGAGAATATGCTTTAGATGGAGAGGGAAAGAGAAAGAAGGGCCAGATAGATAGATGGGTAGATAGATAGATAGATGGATAGATAGATCTGATATGATATGATATGATAGATTGAAAGAAGTAGTAGAAAGAAGAATGTGAGAGAGAAAATCTATTCCATAACTTTTTCCATAATAATAATAATAATAATGATTCCTGTTCTCAACTTTGTGTTATAATAAAATTCATTGAACAAATTCATTTTTCATCTTTTTTTTGCTTTTTCGCTTTTTTCGCCCTGAAATCCCAATCATTTGATAATGATCATCATCATCATTTAGATAGGTTTAATAAATGATAATATATCGACAAGTTTTTCCTGCAGTTCTTCTGTTGTTGAAAACATTTGGAGAAACAACGAAATTCTCCCGAAAAATGATTGATACTTGTCTTGTCGTTTTGACATTCAGTCACATTCATTTCATTTCATTTCATTCCTGTCAGTTCAGGCAATTTCAATGTAAAGAATGAAATTAATGATTATTATTAAATCTCCCTTCAGAATCTACTAAAAAAACGAAAATATTGTAATAAGAATTATGATCAAAGAATATGATTCATAATTTATCACTTTTTTTTGGTATGGCAAACAACGAATGAAATATTTTCTTTCGAGACAAAACAAAACAAACGACAATCTTTATTGTTTTTTCTTTCTTTCTACCATAATGTTGTTGCAGCCAGCCATAGACAATATTTCCAGGAAACAGCAAAAAAAGGAATCGAAAGAAATTTTCTGGCCTTAATTTTTTCAAAAAAAAAAAAGAGTTTGCGCATTACATTTTCACAAAAAGAAGAATTTCAACTAGAATTTTCTTTTCAACTTTTTTGTTTTTCTGTTTGAAACGTCAATATTGATTGATGCATGCTATAACTTGACAGTTGATGATGATCGTCATCATTATTGTTGTTGAGAAAAGCAGGCAGCTGCGATTCTTTCTTTCCTTGTTCGTTGGATTCGTTCGTTGTAGTGGTTTTGGTGGAAAAATAGAAAGCATCGGTGTTTTTTATTTCATCTGAAGCATCCATGTGTGTATTTTGGGTATTGCAATTCAATCACGCATCTTATATATAGCAAATGGAACATCAAGTGAAAGTTTAATGTCCAGTTTTGGTTCAATATTCTTCCACTTGGTTTTCGGTTTGTTTTGTTTTTTGTTTGTTGTTCGTAGTAGTCTATCCTATTCTACGTTTTCGTTGACGAAATGACCATGATCAAGTGCACACACAGACACACACATATATCGATGATGATGATGTAAAAGTGATGTTCAAAATGGCGTAATAACCTTTTTTTTCTGGATATGATGATGCTGTTTTTGAATGAAAGTTAAGTTAAGTGTGTGTATACGATTAAACGAGAAGAAAAAAATGTACGGAATTTTTTCACGGACAGACAAATATATCCAAAAAAGACGATGATCGATGAATTTAGTTTACCGTCAACAAAAAAAAAACTATGAAATGTGAATGCAATGAATGTTTTAGATGGATGGATGGATGGATGTATTCAATCAATCAGACAGCGAAAAGAAAAATTTTTGTTGCAAAAATTATTCAAAATGGAAAATAATCGCATTAAAAATCATCAAAATATTCATCAATCATCGATCAATCATTAATTAATGAAAGAGTGAACGAGAAAAAATCAATAATTTTTTGCTTTTGACATAAACGAATTTTAGGAAAGTTTTTTCTGTCCACGGTTGATGTAAAATTTTAATTTCGTAAATCAGAACATCCCTTTGTTTAATGAAAAAATAGAATACAGGTGAAACAAACACAAAAAAAAACAAGCAAAACAGAAATCAAATGTCACCATAAATTATCTATCTGGTCATAATGATTATCATGATGACCATGATGACCATGGTGATGATGATGACCATGATAAACCGACAAACAAAGCAAAAATTGTCAACGATTCAATTATATTATGGTTACAGATTTTTCTCTGTTGTTTTTCGTTGTAAAATCCGAAAAAAATGATGCTTTTGTTGTTGTGGTCAACACACAAAGAAGGTTGTTTCATTTTCCGACAATGACCAGAGTTTTTGATTTTTCTGATTTTTGATTTGTTTTCATTTTCGTTCATCTTTTATATTCTTCTATCGGCTTTGTATTTTGTAAATGTATTTTTTTTGTTTAAAATTTTTTTGTTTTTTGTATTTTTTAAAAATCTTTTGATTCGTTGAGTGTTTTTTCTTGTCTTTCAATTTTTTCATTTCGGTTGTTGTTGTCTTTTATTTTGTTGTTGTTGTTGTTTTGATCTGATACTTTTTTTGCGATTCTTGTCATTTTTGTTGTTGTCCGAGATGTATTTTTTCAATGAAAACAAAAAAATTTCTTTCTTTTCATTGGTTTATCGATTTTTTTTCATTCATGCTGAATAATTTCAACAACAACAACAACAAATCATTTGTAAAAATCATCAAGAATATTTCATTCAAAATTGATTCGAATGATCCGAATAAAGTATTTTAACCAGAAATTTCCATTCTAGTTTTTTTATCTTGATTTTGATGACCAATGTCATTTTGATTTATATCAAATCCTGAAAATTGATGATGATGATGATCGATTTTGTCTTATTTTATTTTTATTTTTATTTTTTATTTTTTTGCTTCTCTCCAACTATACAAGCTTTTTTTGGAAGGAAAATAGGAACGATGATGGTTGATGATTAAAAAAAAAATAACTGGCATCAATCAAATCTGACATTTTCGACATAAATAATGTTGAAAGACAGACAGACAGATGATGATGATGATCATCATCATTTGATTCTCAATGCTAAGTCAATCTGTATTTATCCATCCATCAGTTTTGATCATATCAGATCTGTAAGAATAAGAATGGTTTTCAAATTATTCTGTGTATGCTTTGTGCTTTGCTTACAAAGATCATCATCACTACCACCACCACCATAACCATCATCATCATCATTATCATCAAAGATAGTGTCAGGATATTTTGGATACTAAATAACTTTGTCCATAGTTATCCACATACACATACATTTGACAGCCATCTCATAGGATTTGTATGAATGTTTAGGATCTGATTATTATTATTATTATTATTTTGATGAGTTATCTTTTTTTTGGTCGTCGTTGTTGTTGTACCATTTAATTTTCATGTATTACATTTGACATTCATCTGTCAATCTTGTCATTCGTCGCCGTCATCATCATCATCATCATCAAAGTTTCATTTGTTCCTTTTTATATATGGTATGTAGTGGTAGTCGTAGCCTGTCGATCATTTTGAAACGAAAATGTGACAAGAAAAAGTAAAGAGAGAGAAAAAAAATTGGAGAAAATGGAATTGAATTTATGTATGAGCAACTTTTTTGTTGACTGGCTTCAATAGTGGAAAAACAAAAAAGAATCAATCAATCAATCAACCATCAATCAATCAATCAATCAATCAATCAATCAATCAATCATTCAATAGAGAACATAGCCAAAGAAGAAGAAGAAAAAAAAAACTAATCAATGGAAAAAAACCTGATTGCAAACAAACACACACACTCACACAGACAGATAGACAAACGATTGATGGATTCAATGCCATTACTAAGGGAAAATGAAATGAAATGAAATAAAATAAAAACAAGAAAGGAAGGTACAAAATATTTGGATGACTGACATGTTGTGTGTTTCGGTTCGGTTTGTTTCGGGTTGATTTTTTTGTAATATTTCTCGATGAAAATTAATAACAATTTCCTTTCTCGTTTCCATTCCTTTTTTTATTTCACTGGTAAATCGACAATCATCATTGATCATTTTTGAACAATTTTTTTTCGGAGCTGTCATATTTGATG